AAGAGCCCTTGGTGTTTAAGAGCGCAGTGAGCCTGAAGGGCCAGCACCAAGGCAAGGACGTTGTTCCCCCTCCCCGTACCCTGGACAGAGCGAGTTTGGCGAAGGAGGGTGGATATCAGCGCTCCTGTGACCCCCCCCTCCAGGCCTGAATCACTCCACGGAGCCGTGTTTGGTGGGATGAAAATCCTCCTGCAGCTGCCGGGACGCAGGCTGCGCATGCTGCTTGCAGCCAGCCACTTCCGAGAGGCTGCAGTTCGGCTCTCCCACAAGATTTACAGTACCCACGCTGCCGATATCAAACCCTAATTGTCAGGGCCAATGGCTCCGTAGGAATGGCTCATCTTTCAAAACGGAGTTGTATTTATTTCATCCAGATTGCAAAAGGCGCTTTTGCCTCCCAGGCCTGTAGGTGCAGCTGTGTCTGAGTGTTTCCAAGGTTTCGGGGGGGCAATTTAACGAGCCTGCCCCCGTCTGCCCAGGTGCCCTCAGCTCCCAGGCAGAGCAGCGGTTTTCTCTGCTCCTTCCTGGCCGGCATTTGTGCTGGTAGCTCTGAGCTCTCTGCAGGGAAAGGAGTTGGGTTTTCAAACTCAGCGTAGAGCTGCAGAGCATGAGGCTGAGGTGCCGGCACGCCGCTCAACATGGAAACACGTGGGAAAAAAGCATCCAAACCACTCGGCCCCATTCGACAGGCTGGACACACAACTGTCCCCTTCCCTCCGGGGGGAAGGAGCCGCTCTGCCAGCCGAGCTTCTTTTAAGAGGGGTATTTGAGGCTGGGTTTGGCTTCTCACCTGTCTATCACCAGCTCCAGCAGCACCACGTGGGAGTGCTGGGTGAATTCGGGATCGTTCTCGGCGTAGCCGTACCGCTCCAGCAGCGCCGCCAGGTCCAGGTCGCAGGACACTTTATTGGGGAATTTCCAGGAGGGAAAACGCACAGCCCCAGCCCGGGAGGAGACGTCGGCGATGGCTGCCTGCAGGTCCCTCAGGTCGGCCTGCAGGCTCTCCATGCAGCTGGGGTGGCCCAGGAGGTGCGCCATGCTGCCGAGGTGTCTGTGGCCTGCGGGCGATGGCCTGTGGGCCGCGACAGGGCCACCAGGCCTGGGATGGAGGCACAGCCCTAGGGGGACAGGTCGCTGGAGGGGGGATCAGCACAGCGGCCCCCGGGGCTGGGGGACCCCAGGGGGGGCTCAGGAGGGCCGGGGGGGACCGAGGGGTCCCGGAGCGAGGAGGCGCCGGGCCGGGGCCTC